TCTTTATTCTTAATGCTAGGTGTTTTGATTATTATATGTCGAGGGGTCTTTTTTTCTTTGGTCCAGCCTATTTGGGGTTCGGTATGCTTCTTGTACTTTCATGGGCATGTCCTTCTTCAGATTTGGAAAGTTTTCCTCAATGATTTTGTTGAATATGTTTTCGGCACCTTTGAGCTGGGTTTTCTCACTTTCCTCTATGCCTATTTTTATTAGGTTTGCCTTTTTGTGGTGTCCCCCATTTCCTGGATGTTTTGTTTTAAGGATTTGTTGGATTTAATATATTCTTTGGTCTATGAATCTATTTTTTCTAGTTTATCTTCTGTGCCTAATATTCTCTCTTCCATCTCATGAATTCTATTGGTTATGCCTATGTCTGTAGTTCACGATTTTTTGCCCAGTTTTTCTATTTCCAGCATTCCTTCTGTTTTTGTTGCCTTTATTTTCTCTATTTCAGTTTTCAAATCTTGAATCATTTCCTTCACCTGCTTAATTGTTTTTCCTTGTCTTTCTGTACTTTCCTTAAGGAATTTGTTTATTTCTTCCACTTTTTTGTTTGTTTTTTTCCTCCATTTCTTTAAGGGATTTTCTCACATCTTCTTTGAGGGTTTCTATCATTTTTATGATGGTATTTTTTAAGTCGTTCCCTTCTGCTTCCTCTGCTTTGTTGTTGTGTTCCATTCTAGTTGGTGTAGATTCCCTAGATTCTGGTGGTATCATGCTTCTCTTACTGTTGTTAGGTGTTTTCTTGTATTGGCTTCTTCCCATAGCTTCTTCCAGTAGGTGTTGGTGGGAACTCCCCCTCTCTCTATGTTACTTCCTCAGTGGGCTTATGTGGGTCTGAGATTCAGTATCTGTAGTTCTGTGTGGTCCAAGCTCTCTAGGAGGTTTCTCTCCAGACAAGGACCCAGGGATGGGGTCAAGGATGAGGTTCCAGTAGAAGATGCCAGCGGGTACTCACAGTGGTCCTGCAGAGATAGGCGGATCTCTGGGAGGGGCCCGGCACTCCAGCAGAGGACTGGAGGTGGGGTCAGAGACCAATCAGGTGGAAATTATGGGTGGTCCCACATGTATAGGCAGGTCTCCTTTGTTCAGCGTTGCTCTGAGATGTCTCCAAAGTAGGGTGGACTGTTGGCTCTACCCTCTGTCCCAGTGCTCAACCAGAGCGGCAGGACCATGGGTAGGGTAGGGCACAAGGTAGGGGGGTACAGTCTCGCAGTGGGGATGGGTGGGGGTATATCAGAAATCCAAGGTTGCCCTCGATGGTGACAGGAGACAGGAGCAGCAGGATCAGGGTCCAACCCAGGGAGTTCAGGCCAATTGTGACAATTTCAATAGGACTGTGTAAGGCAACAAGTCACTCTGGTTTTCCTCCTGGTTTAATTTATGTGTATTCTAGACCATTTTTAACTCCATAACATAAACCAATGTAAGGTCAGTGTATTCCTTCTCTAAACTCAATACCTTGAAAATAAATCTGTAATTTCAATTCTAGTAATGTTTTCTCTAGACATTGTGTTGGTAATGGGCTTTTAACCTTTCTCTGTTCTTCATGCATGTCTCTCTGAGAAATTGGAAGATGGCAAAAAAATTAGGAATTACTGATTCCAAATATTTTAGAAGTCTAAATATTTGAGCAAGAACACATATGTACTAATTTCAGAGGAGAATGAAGTTTCTGGGTTGCTCAGTAAACTTATAAATGTTTTTTTCTTTGATGCTTTATGATTTTTATGTACTATATAGTTTGATCATATTTTTTTTTCTCCTCCAACTTCTAATAAGTATATTTCTCCTACAGTCTCAAGGGCAATGTAATTTACTCAGATAATATGCCAGTGCTCTTCTATTTTAAGATGATTGAGATCATTATAAATTAAATGAGTACACATGTTAGTAATTTACCCCGATTTGTAATTACTAATATCCAGCTTTATTAGGGAAAAAAACTCACTTTGAAGACTGTTATCAGAAGTGCCATTTAGTCTGCTAAGACTCACGTAGCTCTTAGTAGAGATGATGTTGAGATCCAGAAAGTGTGAATTACTTTACTGAGGTTAAAATAACCAAACTAGTGTACAGCAAACAGAACTCTAAAATGTTTGTGCTAGAGAATGAAAAACAAAATAAAACAGCAAATGATACACCAAACTTATGTCAAAATAAACACCAAAGAATAATAACTCAAAACCATTTATTTTTCTTATTTTCTTAACATCCAGTTGTTAAACTTTATATTATTATTTGTGATCAAACATCCACAAATATGTATGAAATCCAGTTTGCTGGACTCTTCGTTGTCTTCTCATACTCTTTGTGCTTAACTTTCTCTTCCAGGTATCCAATATTCTCTTCTAATATATTTTTACATAACAAAAGCACTTTGAACTCAAATTTGAAAAGTATATGAATAGTACCAACAAAATGGTTGTGTTGGGCTTTAATCTCTATATATGCATAATTTGATTTTGGCTTTATAGTGTGCATCTTGTAAATGGATCCAGCAATTGAACTGTATCAGATGTTTGTTGCAGTGTCATGCATTAGTTCTCATATTTCACAGCCCATGATGAATAATTGGTAACAAACAAATAACTTTAATACCCATAGAAAATCTTCACCTTTGATATTTATTGTGTTTGGGTATACTCAGGCTTATTAAGTAAATTATCAGTGAAAAATTCCTAGAAGTAGGAGCCTGTATTTGAGAGTGCTGAACTTGGAGACAGAAGATATGGTTTCTTCTCTTAGACCTAAGCCTTTCATTTTTGTTCCTATTAATTTGTCATTTAATCATATTGCTTTTTACCTTGCATAAAATATGATTCTATAATGCTACATTTTCTGTATCACAACTGTTTTAAAGTGTGTTAGAATTAATATGTATACAATGTAATCTATATGCCTTTCAGGGAACTTGAGTGTGAAATGGCAATACTGATACTTTCACATTACACAAACCACTTTTGCCTTACTTTTCTCCCCTGCCAAAACAGGAGTGTAATAATGCTTATTATATAGATAATTGTTTTTGTGGTAATATTATTGTCTTTATTTATGTAAGAATTATGGAAAAAATGATGGTTACCAAAATGACAATTTAAACCCAATTATTACTTTTGAGATATCCTAATGTAAAATTAACTCTCTATATAGCAATCCTAATTGATCATCTTATAAGACATTCAGAATAAAGTGATTATGATAATGACATTTGGAAGGGCATTATTCGTTTAGTTTACTTATTGAAGTCTATGTGGTGGTTTAATAGTCTTCATTGTATAATTTTTATAAGAAAACTAAAATATTAATCAAGTGAAAAAGGAAAGTACTATGACAATAAAACATATTAAAAACGTTTTTCTTCATGTATGCATGTGAGTTTGTGTTTGTGTTTGTGTGTGTGTGTGTTGTGTGTGTGTGTGAGGGAATAAGAAAGGATGAGAGTTTTAATTTTTTTTATTTTTTTATGTGAGGTTTTTCTCCACTATTTTCCTTCAAGAAAAGTGTCTTTGAACCTAGAGCTTCATTTTTCTCCCCTAAATTAGAAGCCTGCAAGCCTTACAATCCTCCCATCTCTACACTTCAGAGCTATGGTTATAGGTATTTCAAGTGAAGTAATTTCATATGTAGGTGCTGGAACCCTGGACCTTGTGGTTTCATAAGAGGCTCTCTTAATCATAGAGAAAATATCCAAACCCTCATAACTTAAACATTTAACACAAAGGGCATCAGTTTAATGTTATTATTTTTGTTCATTTTGTTGTACTGAAACATAGAATATTTCCCTTTGTTTCATATTTCATATATTGTAATTCAAGTAAGAATAATAACCCCCTGTTTCTCTTGCTAGTTAATATTATAAAATTACTTAGAATTGTTCTATTATATCCTTCTGAATATGCTTAGAGTATATTATGAACATATCCTTTCAATAGAGAACATAGTGAAATATTAGGAATAACATGCCAATAAGCTGCTAGGCAAAGCATATTTGTCAAACCAAAACTGAACAGCTGAGGAAAGGTCAATGCTAGAACTTTGCCTTTGATCTTTTGGAGATGCTATTGTAAATGGTTTATTTTCTTGGACCTTTTGGGTCAATCAGCAAGTCAGAACTTTTCTTGTTTGTCCAGTCTTTCTTTATGAAACCGAATTTAAAGGCATTCTAGAGATTTTCCTGTTAATTGGAATGGTATTCTGGGAACACAGCATCACAAAACAAGGCAATTCCTGTTAAGAGAAACTTTCAAGTGAAATCTAAAGTATTGAAATATGTCTTTTCACATTCAAGGCTGTACACTGAGAATATAAATCAGGGTTTTTCTTTGCTGCATTTTGCAGCATAATATAGAATTTATATTTTTCTCCTAGATTGTTGGTACTTACAAAGCACCTATTTGACAGGATTTTAGTTCACTCTTAATACAATGTATACTGAATGGTTTATTTGAACAATCTGATCTAGAATTTATTATTCGTGCTTGTGTATCTGTATGTGTATGAGTGTACACTGTGTATGTATGACAGTCAGAGAAAATCTTCCAGGAAGTAACTTATGCTAATTCTGCCACATGGATTCTGGGGATCAAACTCATGCTGTCGGGATGGCAGGGATCAATTTTACTTGCTAAGCCATCCTAGCTAACATATTTTACAATAGTAATGTATAACCTTTATTGTTTGTGCTTAAAGTTTGCATGTCTACATAGCTATTAGAAAATAAGATAACTGGCAAACGCTAGATTTGTTAACTTGAACAAATTCATATTTATTGTTCAAAGTTTAATTCTGTTTAAAAGCTCTGTGAACACAAACCCTGATTTCCTTGACAATGGGAGGATTTGAATATTCAACATTGTTGTGAAAATAGTTTTAATATTTACACAGAGAGATGACAAAATGAAGTGTCACAAGGCTTAAAGAATCAGTTTGCAGTTATAATTGCTGTGTAGACTCTGAATGTTTGTACTAAAATATTCACCTTTGCTGTCATGCTGCAGGCCATAGCACGAGAGAAACCCGAGAAGTTCATAAAACTGCAAGATGCCAGCAGATCAGCTCAGGCCCTGGTGGAACAGATGGTGACTGGTAATTACATGAACTTGATTTAAATAATCTTCTTAGGGATCTGATAAACACATAGGTTCATATTTATCAGCTGAATTATATCAGACAATCCCTTTTGAATACAAATTTATGTTAAAGGAGGTTCATATTTTCATTATTACTTTTCTTTCATTCTAAGCAAATTATTGGGGGAAATTCAATTTGAGTCCATTGGTTGAAAATGAGTTGTGGAAATATATTTAATTTTCAGCAAACTAAAATCCTTATTAAAATAAGATTAAGGGAATAGAGCTTTTCTGAAATAATAATTTGTGGAAATAATTAAAGAAGATTAAGAAATGTAATTATAAATTTTCAAAAAAAAGTTTTGCCAATATATTTTACAAATAACCTAAAGTCAGGTGGAAAGATTCAGCCTGAAACTAGTAATACTCTCATGTTTTGTACAGTACCTTCTCTTTGTACCTTAAGTCTACTCTGCAATTTTAAGCGAGGCAGTACAAAGGTAGCATCATATTTTCAATCATATTTTTAAAACTTATTCTTAGCTAACAATACATGAAAATATGTCTGTATAGTATATCATAGTCATGTGAGCAAACTCCTTTTCCAAATTGTATTTTCTAAATTTGTATTCATTTTTAATAAAAGAAACTTTATAAAAATTATGAACAATGCAATTTCCAAACACGCTTACTTTTACTTTTGCAAATGTGTATGAAAAATAAATAAAACAAGATTTTTGTACGTGTCAGCATTTTTGAAAAACAGCCTAAATTCTGCATCATAATTTCTATATATGAATTACTATTAGTCTTTACTGCCATGCTGGCATTAATAAATTCAATTATCAATTATCATTAATAAATTCAAAATATCAATTTTGAATAAATAAATTCAAAATAAGAAATAAATTCATTTTCTTCTTTAAATGAGTCTCATAGCTGTGTTAGCTTAAAAATAAAAACAGGAAGAAATGCCAGTTGAGAATTTGATAAATCTGTTACTATATGTATCTGTATTTTTTTTTTTTTGTAATTTTGAATGATGGCTGTAATAGTACATTCAGTCAAATAAAATTACATGATCTAAAATAGTCATATAATCATTCCATTAATTTTCCTATGAACTACATTTTTACTTTTGTATTTAAATATGCTGATTTAAAATCAATAATTTCAACTTCATATTGTTTAATTTTGCAATAAAATATCAAGCAGACCCAAGATCATCTTATGTATACCTGTACTGTATTTAAAAATGAATGGAAATATATTTAGTATTTAGTATTTGAAATTAGACATAGATGAAAAGATAATGCAAATGCTAAAACCAATTATCTAGATACTTGTCACCAGATTGTTTCTAGAGGCATTCAGAAAAATTAGGGCATAGAGGATGTCCTTATTAATAATAATTAACTGATTAAATTCTACTTAACAAAGCATATTTGACAGTACTGTTGAAAATACATTGATTATTTTGCTTAGAGTAATATTGCCTTGGAATAAAAATAGTAGCATGTATATATAGCAAAGATAATTGGGGTTTTTGGAGTGTGGTTTGAAATTTTATTCTTTACCTTATCGAATTTTATTCCATTAATTTGTCTGATAGTAAAGATAAGGATAGGTTTACCTTGACTAGGATTAACCCAAGTCAGTGTCATAATGAGAATAAGCATTTACAGTGTTCATAATTTATCTCTGCTGTCTCATTAAACAAAGCTGTTTACATTATTACTAAACAATTGATTCAAGTGTTTTGATGTATTCCCTCTTATCTTTTAAAAAAACTACTTAATACCAATTTCCTCAGTTTTCACATATTGAAAGTCAACAATAAATTAGCTTTCTGGGTATTTGTCCAACTGTAATTTAGAGGGAATCAACTTTAAAATTTTTACATGTTTGAATACCAAGGAGCCAAATGGTATGGTTCATAAAACTAAAAATTAAATTAATCTTTGTGTACTATAAGATTTTCAACAATTCCTTTTGTGAATCTTTTAAATTAAGAAGCATATTTCTCATATGTTTGTCTTACTGACTTTTAAAATAAACAACAAAAGATTTATTCCATTCTATTTATACAACAGAAAATGAGAGCTGAATCACTATCACTCATTTAGAAATTCATGTAAATAAATATTAATTTTACCTGCAAATATCATCTTCAATTTTAAGTTAAATCACTCCTAGAAATTTCTTTGTGATTATACCAGCTCTTTGACCAGAATATAAGTTACGTTCCATGATCTAATATTTCACTGAGGTATTTCCAATAGAGATGATGGTCTCTATAAAATCATGTTTCTGGGGGTTTTCATAGGATTTTTATATTTCTTAAAGTAATTTGTGTTTCTTATATTAGAAACAGTAAAAGGAAATTGGCATGTTAGAATATATTTTACATTTTATTTACTGTAAGTAGTAAATATTATAAAATTCATTTTTTTTCAAAAATTGGCACAGCAGTGGATTAACAAAATATAGATCCCTCTGGATTTTTGCATCTACATTTATTAAAAGTACTGAATACATTTATATTGCATGTTATACTACTCTATTAGACAATATATGTGCTGGTAATGACCCTCAGTAAAAGCACAACAATTAGAAAGTTGTTAGGAAGTGCAAGTTTCATTCTAGCTGTTACTCTAATGAAAAAAAATCCACTGAAAACACTCTTTTCCCATTACTTTACTCAGGACTTTTAGTTGATTTTGAATACACTTAAAAAGGAATGTTTCACTTTTGGTGTCAATTTTAAAGTTCTTTTATGGAAGGTGACACAAAATTAAAATTATTCTAGCAGTCTGTTATGTACTGTACACAAGTAATAAGATTATTGGATATACTTCAAGTAATGATCCATTTCCTCTGGGTACAATGTATTTATTCATAGACTATTTCAGGGGTTGTTTAGAATATGAGATGTGAATGGATTATAATCCATTACCCTAAGAATGTAATCTGATTCTCCAAAATGGTTTCCATAAGCATAGTTCATAATGCCTGGTGAGTCAGTGTTTGTATTCTTAATTAGCTAACAAAAAAATTACAAAACCAGATGCTCAGATGATCAACACTTAAATTCTGCAAATATTTACAATTACAGGCTTCCATAACATTTTAATTTTTCACTTGAGCAAAGAAAATCAATCCTATGAAATGCATACTCCTAAAAAATGTAGTAAGAATTCTTATTCTCTTGAATAATAGATACTATTTTCTGGTCATGTATTAAGGTATCTACTACTATTACCTGAAAATAGAAAATATATAGTTAAAATTTTCAAAAATTCAATGGCATTTCTAACATTGTATTTTATCATCTGTCCAAGCATTTTCAGGCAACCAAGATGTTACAAAATTATTTCATATGATTTTTAATCCCCTATCTCAAGATCTTCTAATATTTTTCTCCATAAGAAACAAATTATTGGTTTGGTATTGGATGAGTTCACACATAGAGTATTTCTACTAAACACTGAGAACTATATCACAAAGTGCCAGTGACAACATATTTCCCAAAGGACTTTTAAATTTAGAAGGATAAGTTATGTGATAATTGAACAGCAACCATTTTCACTTATGAAGTGATTTAGATAAATTACCTGCAATTCTGTGCTTCTCTGAGCTTAATATTTTAACTTACAATACATATCTTTTAAATTTTGAGTGTAATTGTCCTCAAATTTAATTTTAAATTAAATTTAATTACATTTAATTATATTTATAATATTGTGTATTGTAATAGCCTTAACCAAAATTAATATATAACTTATCATTTGTGAACCTTAAACATATTAAAATATTATATATACCAAATTTTATGTAAAATTAATTTTTAAATTTCAATAATAAAGTTTTCAGATTCTATTTAGTTCATTAAGACAACTCTGTCTCTCCTATATTTTAAATGTGAGAAATGATGTTTTCTTATTGCCTATATGTTCTTTACCATATCTCTTATATCAACACTTTTTATATTTATTAGTTGCATAAGATTGATAGTATGGGGAGAAATTCATATATGTAAGCCTCAATTCTCAATAAGTGATCTTATTAATGTACTCCTAGAATGGAAAAGAAAAATGACACCTGATGAAGTACTTAAATGAACCAAGTTCACTTAAATTTAGAGGGTCAATGAGATTGAACTTAAATATGTCTAAATTTAGAGTTTTGAGTATATATATGAATAACAGTCCCTTTAACTATTCAGAGAATCAGAAGAAAATTTAGTCACCGAATAATGTGTGTTTCTTGTGTAGCTAGGTACAGGGAGCTATGTATCTATTACTTTTTGTATTTTCTTCTTACTATTATATCTATTTTAAAATATATTAGAAAAACAGTATAGGGCTTTTGCCAATGGTATTTAGAAATGCTGCTTTTATTCTGATGTCATGTTGTGTGATGTAAGACTGAATTTTTTAAGGTTGGATTTATGGTTCAACTGAATAGGCTTGCATGGTAAAATAATATTATTTTAACAAAAAAAATGTCTAAAATAACTGATGAGAGCAAAACAAAAGAAGATACTTAATATTCTAAAATAATTGGCAGTGATAACATAACTATTTTCAAAACTGCGTAATATCATTTTAATCATTTTTCTTCTTTCTATGACACAATTTAGTAAGGAAATTGGATCTAAACTAGTGTATCTGTAAAACATTTTATTTTTATGAAGTAACTTAACAATTTCTTGAGAACTTTATCAGTGACATATTATATTGTTACATTCCTTTGTTCTCTAGGGTAGCACACACTGGAATTAGCTTAGTCATATGTTATATTGTCAGATAATTAAGATACAACCTAAAAAGACAAACTTATTCTCAAATATATAGTGATTATTACAGAGGAGTAAATGTGTCCTTATATTTTCATTTGATAACTGTAGATAAACTTCAGCATTTGTAAATTGAAATCTTTTCACAAAATGTGTTTTTCCACATGCTTGCTTTACCTCATGAATCAGTGGATAGTCTGATTATTTGGAGGGATAATTATACCTCAAAAAAGGAATGAATGATTTTAGATGTATTTTCTTTCCAAAAAAGCATAGAAACTGTACTCTAATTAATTCCCAAACCTGTATTTTGTATTGTAATCTGATTTCATAATGTTTATTTTTAGAAATAGTGATATTATTTATTCTTCAGTTAAATATTAATTGTATTAATATTTCTTTACAAACATTTATGGAATAATTTATTCATCATTAATCCACATCAAAACTTTGGTCAGTTTTCCTTTCCTGAATCTTTTCTACTATTCTGTATTTTAAACACCTTGACTTGGTATTTTAGAATGGTAGTGTTCATTTATGAGTTTCTACTGTAAAAATTTCTCATTTCTAATTAGATATTCCCTTTGCATCTTTATCAGCAATTCAATGAATTTGTTTAAATTATTATATGCTGAACATTTCTATAATAGAAACATGTTGGTTTACAGATTACCTCTTTTAGACTGTAGCTTCATGGGACATATATTTTGTTTTGATAATTTTCTAGAGGGTGTTAATGCTGAACGCATCATACAAGCCTCAGAACAACTGAATAGCCGCTGGACAGAATTCTGCCAGTTGCTGAGTGAGAAAGTTAACTGGCTAGAGTATCAAAACAACATCATTACTTTTTATAATAAGCTACAGCATTTGGAGCAGATGGCAACTACTGCTGAAAACTGGTTGAAAACCCAACCCACCACCCCATCAGAGCCAATAGCAATTAAAAGCCAGTTGAAAATTTGTAAGGTAAGATTTTCCTCTTTACATTTGTAACATGATAAATAGTCATCTCTTGGGAAATTGTAGGAGGACCATAACAAACTGTTTAATAATGAGATTTTTAAACTCCCAAGGATTTAGTGAGCACAGCAAAAATCAAAATATAAACAAAGAAAATACCTTTAAATAAGTACTGTATTGACATTATAATTCTGGCATTGATGCATATAATTTATACATGCCTAATTGATTTTGTCAGTTTGCAGTGGTTTGAGACAGTAAGTATAGAAAACACATTTCCTATAATGAATGGCCAGTACACTGTTACTCTTTTCAGATGTTAAACTAAGCAATACACATAGCTAGAAAGAACTCAACACTAAAGTCTTATGCTGAAAAATGAGATAAATTAATAAATCTATAAAATCAATGACATATAAGACTGGACATTTTGAGTGGTATTTTTTCATAAATACATGTTTTTCTAATATCCTTTCTATATAGGTAATACTCAAAGAAAGGCCATGTCAAGCCAAGCTATTTCCTCTTAAGACAGAATCAGTGTAGAAATTGTGAATACACAGGAGAGAGTCAGAACCTTACAATAAAGGCAGCCTTAAGAGTGAGCCCAAGGCAACTGCATGGAAATAGAGCAAGAAAAATAAACAAGCAATTTTATCATCCTCTCTGCCTAAAGAGTCTGGACAGGGCTCCCCACTGACTTGACTTAATTAGGAGGCAAAGAATACGGAGGTGTGATCTGTAAATTCTCCTAGCTCATGAGAAGAGAATGAACAAACCAGGTGGAACTGCCAACAAGGGTCCAAGTAAGAAATTAAAAGAGCTCGTCTTCGAGTGTTGAAAATTAAAAGTTTATCATGAAAATACTTGACCTTTTCCAACCCTTACTATAAGTGTCACACTGTTCCTGGAAAACAAGAACTTGATTAGAGGCTAGGTTAAACAGCATTATAGACAAGCCTTTACTGATAGATTGAGATGTGTATATTTAGTATGAAGAAAGATTAATTTGCATACTTTTAAAAAGAGTGGTTTAAATCAAGGCTGAATGGATATGGACAACTGACAGTCTTGGTCTGACAATAAAAATGAACTCAAATGATACTGGGAAATATAATGTTGTTCTGAAACAAAAAAAGGGGGTGATTTGATATTTTCTTCTTTAGTTTCTGTAAATATACTAGAAAGTAAACAAACACAAAAATATAGTTATATGTGATAAATTTAAAAAAGAAAGGCCTTTGCATAAATGGGCAGAATACAAACTATAGAATTTCTGTTTAGAGGTAATTAGATACGAGAGCCCACGGCCTGTTTTTCATTTCTCTGAAGAATTGTTCACATGTGATAGTTGTTGGAACAAAACTATGGTGAAGACAGGCATGGTCATACAATCACTAGAAATGGTAAAGTCTAGATTTTTTTTTTATTCAAAGGAAGCATGGAAAACATAGTAAGGTCCTGATTTAAGCAACCAATATAGATTGATAATGAAACCTTAACTTTATTCTTGAAATTCAGACATAGAAACAGACAAATAAGAAATATACTTACATATAAAGTTATATTTTAGTTATCTATAAGGTGACCAAGAATAATAGTATGTATATTAGCTAGTTTGCTGACAGAAGTGTAGCACAGATTGGGTTATTTCATCAGTATGAATATGTCTCACTCTTTTAGAGGATGGAAATTGAAATTAACAACTTTCAAGATTCATCCCTGATAACCAATCTATTTATGCTTTGCAAGTGGCTACCTACTCACTCTTGGGATGCCTATGACTTTTCCCATTTCCTGTTCATTGGAGGAATGGACGAGGGAGAGAAATATTTCATTCATTTTTTAAATCAACTAGCACTATGAGATTAGGATTCCATCTTGATTACTTAATTACCTGTAACCTTTAGTGCCTCCCAAATCACCTTTTCCAAATATACTTTGCATTGAGTGTTGAGGCTTTAGCATGTATATTCTGAGGGACCACAATTAAGTTCAAAACACTAAGTTCTAGGAAAAGAGTGGAATATTTTTTGACCATGGTTTCAACATATTTATCCAAGCAAGAGGAGATAGATGCTAGCCAAATGATTAAAAATAGGGTAAAACTAACATGGGAATAAATGGTTTTTTCAAAGTTAGAAAACATCTAAAATTAAAACATGACATAGTCATAATCCTAAAGGCAGCTTCTTTAAGAGAAGAAATTTTCAGTGGGTATTTGAGTGACTTGATGTTAAATAAAGGGATATTATTACACTGAGAAACATGGATTAAATAAGACCACATATGTAAAAGAAGGAATATGATATGAGTACTAAACATAGTGCCATGTATGGGTGGGATATGAGTCAGATGTTGAAAGAAAGACATATTGGACAGAAGAACAGTCACCTGAGAGTCATACCACAATCTTTGTCTTAATCTCAGTAACAAATAGTAATCACATACAAATGTATGTAATATTCTATTACTATGTAATTATTGAAAGTGAAAATATCACTGTACTATACTCACTAAAAAATATCCCAGTCTCTTTGGTAATAACTCATCTCATTCTCTCAAAAGTCTTTCTTCCTAGCCTTTTGGTTCTTAATGATTTTATTAATGGGTTTATGAAATATTTAGTGGTATAAGGATAATGTCATTCACTGTAGGGCTAAGATTATATTAGTAGCCTGGTATTGGTGATTGGTAATTGATTGTTTTAATCCAATTTATTTCTTTACATCCTTTGGGGAATTTTAAATATTAGAATACAAATTTCGCTCATGCTCAAATATGTTAGAGGTGAGAAAGCATTTTCAGATATGTAAGAAATATGCTTATATTTCCTGAGATGGGAGAAACTCCTACTTGATGATACATTATTTAAACATAGATAATTTTTATTCTTCATATATTACACCCCAAACACAGCTTCCCATCCTTCTGTTCCACCCAGTAAATGTACATAATTTTAAAGGGAAAACACATTCAGGGAAGATGTCTTATTCTGGCAGACCAAGAACAACAAGTTTCTCTTTGCAAATAATGATTAATTTTTAACAAGTTTTGAAGTTGAATAGTTCATTGCAAAATGAATTTTACATCTTCAGTCTTCAATTTTTAAGCAATTCACTTGTCAGTAGCAATCAGTCCTACTGTGAGAAACACATAGCCACATTCTTGTTAAACTTGTGTTTATATATTTTGAGATAAAAGAAAATAGCTTTGCCCATTTATATTATTGCCCTTATGAGAGATTATCTCAATCAATGCTCATAATACTCTCTAAATACTCTCTAAAGCATACATGCATCCTAAATCAACAATTTACTTTGCCATTTTAGTATGATTTCCAGTAAGCTCAGATTTAAATTTAGTTCCTAATTGCTATAATTTTAAAAATTTCCTCTCCATCTAATTGGCTAGTGATCTCATTTTTAATTTTAATTATCATGCTTTTTGCATATTAAGTACTAAAGAAACCAAAATACTTTTTGAAAGGTAGCATAGATAAGTAAGCAACCATGGGAAAAATGAACTGAAAAAGAGAATTTAAAATTATTTGTTATGGTACAAGTAATGTATATATGAAACCTAACCTACTTGCAACTCCACTTTAAATGAGACTAAACTATTTATATTAAGAACAATATGCCTGAAAAAATACAATATAAATTCTAAATCCAAGTGTTATATAATTTTAAATATTTAGTTTTTGAAAAAGATTGGGTCAATGTGGCCCAATCCCAAGAGGCTATTAATAGTTAACATTTGTTCTGTAATGGGTTGTCATTTTATACAGGGAAAGAGCCACTGATAATTTACTTGGTCATGTAAATAATTTTCCATCCCCACATTGGTAGAATATTCAAAATAAGCTAATTTCATCATATGCAAAAGTAATATATGAACTAGGAGTGGGATTTGTTAAAGAGTTCTAGCAGTCTCACAACATTTCATGAAGGAATGAAAACAATGGGTCAAACTGCTGATTATAAAACAATACAAAATAATAAAAGAAACTGATACATTGTAATTTTATTAGACTCATTAGTGTTTTTTATTTATACATATTAGTCAAAACTATTATTGCAAGGTTTACCCAATATTTTTAAATGTAAATGTATATACATATATATATCATATATATATCATATTCTGTTTTCAAAATTTAGCATTCATTTTTATGATATTAACATACCTTTTCCTACCAACATGTCAGTTTCTTAGATTCTCAGTATTAAATACAGCTTGAGAGTATTATATTGGACTTCAAAATACTGTACATTTGATTTTTATCAGAGTACAATTGAGTATACACTACAATTGAGATTGAAAGTAGGTATTATTCTAAGAATGTGTACGACAAGAGATGGAAAACGTGTTCACTTTCCCTAAATAAAGAGTAGCAGCTGAGTATCCATAAAATGAAATGAGGCCAGAAAAATGTAGAAAATTACAGATGTAACCATATGTATTTGTACAAATATAAAGAAAATGTTGTATAGTTACATATAAATTACCTTGTACAGAGATTTATAAATTCATATGGTTTATTTTATACATACAATAAATTTTGAAACTGTAATTGAATGAAATAATATTTACTGAATGGCATTAGAATTTAAAACAAAACATTTTTGAGATAAAATATCATTAAAAATAAATATCATTTGATTTAATTTGGTAAAATTTTAATGTGTTCAGTTATAATACAATGCAAATATACACATTTGTGCTTTAATGTTCCAAATGATAATTATCTGAAATTTAGGCAATTCGTATATCATGAGTCAAAATGAGCAATGAGTTGTGTATTCTTAAAGTGATGACTTGTAATAGAATATGGATATTTCTTAAAAAATATTTGTCATTGATATTAACTTGATCTCATATCTATCTGTAAACAGCTTTCTTTGTGACAATATAATGTATGCAAGCTTACATATTTGTAATACTCTCAATTACAATTCAGGATGAAGTCAACAGGCTTTCAGCTCTTCAGCCCCAAATTGAGCAATTAAAAATACAGAGCATATCCTTTAAAGAAAAGGGTCATGGGCCAATGTTCCTGGATGCAGACTTTGTGGCCTTTACAAATCATTTTAACCACATCTTTGCTGGTGTGCAGGCCAGGGAGAAAGAGCTACAGACAAGTAAGTAAAAATAATTTTAAGAACTAACTTGAGATCTTTGAAGTTGCTTATTCATGGGTAAAATATTAGATACTGAAAAGAATCAAACAAAAACAAGAATAAACACTATCGGTGGAACACCCCTTCTTCTGTTAATAAATGATAAAATACTAATGTTGGACAACAAGAAAATGTTTTTTTACTTTCTATCATATTCCAATGCCTTTGACTAAGAACAAATAAATAATGCTTTGTACAGCTATAACTTCTCCATGGAGGGTTACAATTTCCAGAATTAGGAGTTATTGTACACTTTTGAAAATAAATAAGCATTTCAGTGGACTTTCACAAGATTTCTTATTGTGTAGAAGGAAATATTTGCGCAGGCGTTTTCTGATGTTCTGTCAGATCATGTGAAAATGATATACTTTGGGGAACTGCATCTCCAGGAAAAATAAATTGTTCCTTGGTCTATATTTTACTTTTGGGACTAGTTGACATAATAGGAGATAAAACTAGAACAAATATGCAAATTTGTATCATGTGGATAACAATTTTTCAAGCTGTCTCTTTGCAAATTATTTTTGGATGAAGTTAGTTCATAGGATTTCCTTGAAATATCTGTTCATTCACTTTAAGAAAAAAAAAATGTCTTATGGCATGTCTTTGTAAATTTTAAAAATAGCATTTTAAATATTTCTAGATTATTTGGATATGACCAAAGCTTTGCTAGATACATTTTATTATGTAAAATTTATTTTACAATGCGCATTTACTTCTTTCTGCTTTTTAAAATAGTTTTTGCTTTGAGGTTTATTTTTCTGTTAGGCAATCAGTCAGTAAAGTTTAAAATGGTGACTGCTCCCTCTAGTGGATTGCAGTATACTTCCTGCTGATAAGATATTAAAGTTAGCTTCCTGATAATTTATTTTGTGATGAAATCAATGAACTTTATTTAAAGTAAAATAATTTTAATGATACTCTATATCTGAACTTCTTCACTGGAATGTTCTTTTTATTCTTGTAGGCATATTAAGTTCATTCTTCAGTTTGAAGGAGACTGGAATAGCCATATTGATAGTTTCCTATGTTACTACAATATAAATATTTAATATTCATTCTATTTACCTACTTATCAACATATACATATAATTATGTGTGAACACATGAACATTATTTATGAAATTTCCCCAACTTTCCTTTCCACACCTGAGTTCCAAAATAATGTGGCCATGTAGGGGTCCATGATAAAGAGTGGGTAAACAGGTATAAAACTAAATGAACATGGACTAGAACAAAAGGCTAATGGGGCAAAGCATATTTACCATCCTACTATTTTTATAAGAGTATTTTCGATATTTTTTGCCTACTATTTCAGAAAACTTGGATTGCTCAACACTTTTGAATCAAGGTGATATTGGCTTCATATAATGAATTTTGCAATTTTGTGGAATAATTGAAAGAGTATTGGTATTATTTCTTCTTTGAATATCTGGTAGAATTCTGTTTTATGAATGTTTGGTCCTTGCTTTGTTCTTTTTTTGGGAGAAGAGGGGAGAGTCTTAATGATAGCTTCTATTATCTTGGAGGGTATAGATTTGTTTAAATAATTTACCCGATCTTGTACCCGATCTTGATTTAACTTTTGTAAGTGATATACATACATATATACATACATACATACTCTCTCTCTCTCTCTCTCACACACACACACACACACACATACACTCACACACACACACACACACACATATATATATATATAAAATCAAGAAATTTTCCCATTTCTTTCAGATTTCCAATTTTATAGAGTACTGTTTTTTGAAGTACATGTTAAAGATTCTCTCCGTTTCTGTTGTAATTAGTATCTTCATTTTTGTTTCTAATGTGTTAAATTGGATGAATTTAACTTCCTTAGAGAACTGATTTTTTGATTCATGATTATTTGTGTATTTGTATTGTTCACATTGTTTCCATTTTATTTAATTCAGCCCAGAGTTTAATTATTTCCTACAATTTACTGCTTTTTTTTTGATCTAGAGCTTTCAGGTGTGCTATAAAGTCACTACTATAAGATCTCTCCTAATACTCTTTAAAGACATTTAGTGCTATGAAATGTCCACTTAGCATTGCTTTCATTGTATCCCACATGTGTGGGTATGTTGAACATTCGTTTTTCATTTAATTCTAAGAAGTCATTAATTTCTTTTTTTCTTCCTTGACACAGTCACCATTCAGTAGAGAGTTCTCCAGATTCCATGAGTTTGTATAATTTCTCTTGTTGAAATCCAGCTTTCATCCATGATGCTGTAATGATATGCAGGGAGTAATTTCAATCTTCTTTTATCTGTTGAGAGTTATTGACCAAATGTGGACTATTTTGGAGAATGTTCCATGAGGTGTTGAGAAGAAAGTTTACACTTTTGTGTTTGTGTGAAATGTTCTGTAGATATCTGTTAGCTCCATTTGAGTCATAATATCTGTGTGTTTGAGCATTTCTCTGTCTAGATTTTGTCTGGATGATTTGCCCATTGATGAGAGTGGGGAATTAAAGTCTTCCACTATAAATGTGTGATTGTCAACTTGTAATTTTAGTTGTCATAATGTGTTCTTTGCAAACATAGATGGCCTTTTGTTTGAGCCACAGATGCTGAGAATTGAGATGTCCTCTTGGATTTTTTCCTTTGATGAGTATGAAGTGTCCTTCCGGATTTCTTTTCATTAAATATGGTTTGATGTCTACTTTGTTAGGTATTAGAATAACTACACAAGCTTGCTTCTTTTGATCATTTGTTTGGGAAATATGTAATGTCTATCTTTGATGTTAAGGTATGTTTATTATGTGGAATATGTATGGATTTTGTTGTCTCATCCATTCTGTTATTCTTTTTATTGAGGTATTGACTCCATTGATGCTAAGATATAACAATAACCAATTGCTGTTCATTCCTGTTATGTCCTTGTAAATGTCGGTAGTTTGTGTGTGTGTGTGTGTGTGTGTGTGTGTGTGTGTGTGTGTTCATGTGTTTGCCTTTGTTCAGTTTCATTGAAATGAGATTTTTTTCATTTCCAGTGTTTTATGGGTGTTGATAGAGTTTTCCTTCTAGTACCTTTTGTAGGGGCTAGAATGGTGGATAGATAATATTAAATTTGACTGTTTTGTGGAATATCTTGTTTTCTCCATCTTTGGTGATTGAAGTTATGCTAGGGATAGTACTCTGGGCTGGCATCTGTGGTCACTTATATTCTGCAGCAACCTATCCATGCCCTTATGACTATTAGTGTCTCTGCTGAGATTATGTCATACATCTCCTATATTCAGTTGCTTGTGTTTGTAATTCATTTTCACTTCCCTGGATATTCCATTTCTACTTCCCTGGATTTCACTTCCCTGGATTTTCCATTTTTAGTTCTTGAATAATTTTATTCATTTCTCTCAGAATTTTTTTTTATTGTGGGGGCTTTGGTTTTGGTTTTTCTTTGAGAGCTTTGTTTATTTCCTCCATTTTTCCTGATTTTCGTTAAGGGATTTGTTCATTTCCTTTTTAATGACTTTTATCATCATAATAAAGTTGGATTTCAGATAATTTCCTTTACATAACATTGGACTATATAGGCTTGCTATAGTTGGATGGCTGGGCACTGGTGGTGACATATTGCACCGACTGTTGTTTGTTTCTTACACTGAAGTTTAGGTTTCTGGATTTGGGGTGATTATAGTTCAAGGTATTGATTCCTGGGTTTGTCTTTGTTGGATGGGTATCTTCTTCTTTGGTCTCTCTTTCCTCTCAGGTCGTCTGGTTGCCCTGACATGCCTGTGGCTTAGTAAAGGTCCTCTGCCTGGATAGAGTGTTTGCTGCTCAAGTTTGTGGCTAGATTTCCAGTTATATGTGTGGCCTCTGATCTGGCTGGGGGTCTTCTAGGGTTTAGGGTCCTGTTCTGTCTTCTGGTGGGGTATAAGGCTACTGTCTGGTTTACAGAAAGTTGGTCTAGTCTTTGTGTCTAATAATACTAATATGGGTTTTATAATTGAAGTTCCTGGCCTGGCCTCTGATGGAGTAGGAGGCTTCTTCTTGAGGTGTGGGCATGTATATGGTAATTGGAAGGGGAGGAGAAGCTGGAGTTATGCAGGGCTAATGTGGTGGAATGATGACAATTTTATTTGGGGTTCAGGATGCTGGTGGATTAGGAGACTTCTGCCAGAGTTGTGGGTCAGTATAAGGTCACAAGGAAAAAAGGGACAATTGGGTTACTTTGGGCAGGAATAGGCAGGAAGTAAGGTGGTCTTACATGGAGTTCAAAATGTTTGCCTGTCTTTGATGAAGTAAGAGGTTTCTGTGAGAGGTGGCAAGGGACAGTTGGGGTTATGTTTGGCTGGTACTGGAAGGGCTTGGGGAGTGTGGTGGTGGCTTACATGCTTTGGGGAACTGGCCTTGCTTCTGATGTGGTAGATGTTTCCAACAGAGGTGTGAGCCAAAATATGGAGATAGAATCAAACGTGAAATATACTGTAAAAGAAAATATACAATTTTTATTTAAAAAATACTGGAGCAAAGCAATACCAGCTGGGCCAAAAACAGCTCCATCTTTGCCACAATATCACAAGACCAGTTTCAAGGCCACATACTAACATTCTTCTCCTCTGAAACCTCTTGATTCAAGTGCCCACAGTTCAAATCACACTCAGTACCACTGTCTTTTATGTTCATACTTGCATGACCCATTAGGCAGCATGGAAAGTGTTCAACTGCTTTTATAATCCATAGTCCCAAGGTCCCTATTCCTTCAAATAGAAGCATGGTCAGGACTATCACAATTCCCCATTCCTTATTACCAACTTCTTTGTTATTTAGGGTTTCTATAGGTACAAAGAAATACCATGGCCACAGCAACTCTTCTAAAAGAAAACATTTAATTGGGTGGCTTAGAGTTTCAGTGGTTTTATCCATTTTTTTTCATGGTGGGAAGTAGCAGCACATGGTGGCATGCAGACAGACTTAGTGATGGAGAAAGAGCTGAAAGTAGAGAAGGAGCTACATCTTGATCCTTGAGGCAGCAAGAAGTGAACTGAGATATTGGGTGTGACTTGACCATGCATGAGACCTCAAACTCTGACTTCACAGTGATCCACTTCCTCCAACAAGGCCACACCACCTTATATTGCCACTCCTATGAGCTTAAAGCACCGCACATACCATAAATATTTTACCAATATTTTTATGATAGTTCTACATAATGCAGTCTATTTTACCTCAACTATTTTATTTAATATATATATATATATATATATACATATATATATATAATAAGTTACAACTGAGAAGAGTTATCTGATCCTCAGTGTTGTTAAAATGCACTCATAAACATAAAATAATTTCATCTAATTTGTTACCTCTTCCTATGTTTCTACTTATTACATTTTATATTATGATTATATTGTAGAATGAGGTATAAATGAACCTTGAAATGCACTTTCTATATTAGAAAGGCTAAATAGGCTTGCACATTTTCTTTTCTTTATGTGTAGGTATATATGCATCTATATTTCTGTGTATTTATTTGTAAATGTGTACCAACTAATATTTACTTATTCTACAAGACAAAGCCATCTCTTTGGATTATTACATTTATTATATTACTTGTAGAATGAAAGGATTCTGTTAATATATATGGCTCAATACTTTTTCAACAAATTTTATTCTATTCAAATCATTGTTTACAGGGACGCCTCTTGATTGCTATCTGTTCAATTGACATACTATTTAAACTGCATCTATACACTACATATTATTCTGTCATGGAGAGTAAAAAATAAATTCTTATTAATGAGGTACAAAACTGTATAAAACATAAAAAATATTTCAGAATTAATTCATTCATGTCTAGTCTTTCCTTTTCATAAAACCCAGGTTTTTCCTCAATCATTATACTCTTGGGATCATTTGTCTCTCCCTTTGTCACACCATGACACCCTGCAACATTCCCTGCTCTTTCCATTAAAATGACATTTTCTCCACATTCCTTTTCCAATTAACTGTATTTTTTAGTCAGGCAGAGAGAGGACCTCAGAGGACATTGAGGATAAAAGGAGGTATTAGGGTATTTCAGCTATTCTCTATATACCAATGTGTCTTTAGTCAGAGGATATGATAACTCCTTCAATTGTGTAACATATAGAATTACTCTATTTGGGGGCTCAGCCTCCCAGCAGGGAATTACTCTGTGAATTTAACTCCTGAGGGGTGACCCAATTATTGGATGCTTTAAAAATGATTTTATTAGTTCATTGAGAATTCAGTAATATGTGTTTTGACCAAATTTATATTCTTTGCTAAGTCCTCCCTGATCCACTCTGCCTTCCCAACTCATTTAAACTTATATTCTCCTCTCTCTTTCTCTCTTTCTCTCTCTCTCTGTCTCTCTCTGTCTCTCTCTCTCTCTCTCTCTCTCTCTCTCTCTCTCTCTCTCTCTCTCTCTCAATCCCATTAAGTCCAATTGTCCTAACCATATAATTTTGTTGATTTGCCAGGGGATAGACTCTTCTAGTATCTAAAAATTGCCAATAGTTCCTAATGTAAAGGTGGGACTTAAAGTCTAACTTCCTTGGTCTAGTATATATGCTGTGCACAAATTCTGAACCCCCAAAACACCAAGAGCCACATTCATATGCTAAAGCAATGAGTCTTTTGTTAATTAACAAGTTAACTCTATTATCCAGGGCCCTTCATCCATCCAACATGCAGCTTACTTGAGAAGGACCCCAAGGGGCCTTGAGACAGGAAGTTTTTTTGGGAAGAGCAAGGGTATTTTCTAGGAGTACGCAACAGTTAGGACTGGTACACTTTCGGGCTTAGACAACCCTTCCTGTTTTGATTGGTCAACTGGTTGTTAAGCCCTATAGGCCATCCCAGGGTAGTTGCTGTGCTCTGCAAGTCACTGTAACTGTTATGCCCACTTTTGCCTTAAAGTGCCATAAATCATGAAGTGCTATAACTTCTGACTGGTTCCTTGCCATGTAAAGGGTATCTGACCTCATAGTGACTGGGAGGAAGGGCAAGATCAGGCAAGTACATGTTGATCTGCAACCTGTCGTGGCTCCTAAAGCAAGGGGCTGGGTGAGGGTCTCATCCCTTCACATGTAAAGCTTACAAATATGGCTACCACCTCATCCTGAGTTCTCCCAGGGATCGTTTTTGGCCTTCCCAGGCTGGTAATTACATGACCATTATCACATCTACCCAGAATTTACATGTGTTCTAGGGATTACAATCTTAGTCTCCACACTTAAGACATTGAACCATCTTTCCACCTCAGTTTCATGATTTTTGTGTATAATGAAAACAGACCTTGTGATTTGAAATACTAATTCTGTTATATTTTGGGGAAACATTTATATTAGATTATTCTACTGTTCATTCTTTTCTTTTCTCGTATTTCATTCTATTTAACTCTGAACTATCACTACATTTTACTTTTATTGTTCCATATATTTTGCTATGAAATCTATTCACTTAATTTGTTCAAAGTATTGTATTTTATTCTGCTTTAAATTCTTTCTATTATCCCTAAAATACATTACATCATTACATTTTCAAAAAGTATCGCATGTAGCCTAGGCTTCCTTTAACTTTGTGATATAGATGAAACTAGCCTAATACTCTTGATCCTCTTGCCTCCTCTTCCTAATTGTCACTATTACAGGCATATGTCTTCATGCCTGATTTAGTGTGTTATTTTGTGGTTTCTAATTCTTAGATAATTTCTCAATAAACATTCAAGATAAGTATAGGGATATATATATATATATATACATACATACATACATACATACATACATACATACATATGCTTTCCAATAGATGTATATAAAGAGAGAGACATGGTAAAAAAAAAATAAACGCCTTTCAGTAGTGGTTTGGATTGGGAAAATAGGTGGTTTTGTTTAAAATACTGGACTTGATACTTAGTAAATAATTACCTGGCTATCTTTCACAGTCTGAATTCCATTAATTATAAATGCCTTTAATAACATGTAAATAACTGCTTTATTATTAGAGTTCCTGACACATATTAATCATGTACAAATTAATTTATCTTTGTATAATCAGTGATGATATTTTTAATATTAATGATTTTATATAATATTATTTTTCTTTACAAGACAAACCATCACAAAAGATAGGTTGATTTTAATTTTTTATAAACTTTACCAAAATGGTTTCTGAATGATATTGGTAAAAATTCTCAGATTCTGTCTATATTTCTAAACCTTACAAATGGATAAATTAACTAAGTGTTTGGTTGGGGGTCCATTTTAAAATTTAAACTTTTGAAAATTTGATGTTGAAAATTTGAAAGTAAAATGTTGAATTATAAAATTCAAGATATCTCATAAAATAATCTTAACATAACAGACATTTATTAGGTAAGAATTTCGCTTTATTATAACAAAATTTTATTACATTTCAGGTACAGAAATTGATTGATACTTAATATGTTTGGATCTACTGAAAAATAAGGAAAATATGACAGAGATTAAACGTATTTAATTAGTATACTTTTTTCCAGAGTTTAAATTGATTTAAATATTATGCTCTTTCTTTGTTCCCTTTGATGTAGTTTTTGACACTTTACCACCAATGCACTATCAGGAGACAATAAATACAATACTTACGTGGATCCAACAGTCAGAAAACAAACTCACTATACCTCATCTTAGTGTTACTGAATATGAAATAATGGAGCAAAGACTCGGGAAATTACAGGTCTGTGGATATTTGAATATCATAAGCAACAAATAACATGTCTTATTCATCAAAAGCTTGCATTGTTGTTGCTCTAAATATAAATAATGATAATAATTGCAGGAATCATAGGATAGAAATCAATTTTTTTCAATCAAAATTGAAAATTGGACAGGAGAATTTGAAAATATAACAGGACTTTTTCTTATTTCTATATAGACACTGTTTCATAAATAAACACATATGTGTGGATATTTACATTTTCAATAAAAGTAATATGTTTAAAATAATTGTGAAATAAAACTGTAACTTCCATTTTTAGTCTGTTTTTAAGATACCAAATATGAGTATTAACATTAAAATTATTTTTTCATGATTACAAATTTTAAAATCCTGACATATTTAAGCATAAGTAAAAGAAATAGATTTATTTAATTAGACTCTTTTGTAAATTATGATGACTATTTGATACTGAGTAGCAATTTGGATAGCATAAGTCAAGAAAGTTTAAATGCTAATATGAGAAATTAATGTAATATAAGAACATGTGAGGACTAATAATTTGTTGATTTTAAAAGTGCCATGTTGTGTACTCATTCTTATTTATAATATATATTTATTAAGTTAGACATTAAGGTATGATAATTACTCTTTAGAATTAAGTTAATAAAAATAATATTATATTTTTGATATTTCTAGTTCTTTTATATGACTGTGTATTCATTATTTATAAAAGTTAATTTTAAAGCAATATTATTTAAGTATTTTCTTATATATATCACACATTGTAAGATGTTTTCTCTATTATAATATAGAAAATATCAGCAGGGTACCTCTTTCTGGATATTTGGTGCAGTAATTCTGATATTCACTAGATATTTGTCACCCAAAAACTAATAAACTTCAGAAAAAATGATCCTATAAAAGTAAAACAATTACTGAGTAAAGAAAGTACCAAACAAACATTGGATGAATGATTGGAAACTGATATTAAAACAGAAAACCATGTTCTAGATGAGCAGTCATATGTACCATTGAAATGTAAAAACTTTGTATCATAAGAGAATATCAAATTTACAAATCACAATGGAGTATTAACAAAATATAATGGTGAAATATGTAAAAATGTCTAGTAGACAGTCATTCATTTCATTAAGATTCAAGAACAGCCAATCCAAAATCACCAAAGAAAAATGACACATATTTTTTTCTAATAACAAGGAATTGTCTTCAAAACAAAGTCAACAAGAGATAATAAATTTGAATAATCCTATGACAAATTACAAATGGAATTCTAAAAGGTGAAATACATCTTTCCTAGTACAAATTAAGTATAAGTCAGAAGTAAACTCAAGTAATAATAAGAATTTAAATTTTTGAAGAAATCCCATCAGTATTTTACATCAATACATAAATTTTTCTTTCAACTATGTATATGAACATAACTTATTAAAATACTACATATTTATGCAAATATTAGAATACATTCAATGGTACATGTAGATGATTAAAAACAAAATTCATAAAAGAAATTTAGTAATTAAGCATAAATCTTTAGTCAATTTATGTTAGTACTCAGCTATCTTAATACCACATTCAATTTACTATACATATAAATATAATTTAGAAATAATTTTAATCAAGAAGGTTGAATATTGGCTTACTGAGATTTCACTACAGGTAAAAAAAAATGCAAGACTAATATAATTCACATAATTATTAATGTACAGACTTTCAGTAAAATTAAGTATACCAAATGTCTGGCTATGTAAAATATGCGTAGGAACTTATTGGTCATTATTTATAAGAATACATGCAGATGGTTTTATCAAAACTTCTAGTTTGTTTAGATCTTTGAAATATAAGTTTTCATTAACTTTCTTCTTTATGTGAGAGAAAGTCTATTATGCATCATTTAGTTTAAATATACTTTGCTTCTAATTTTGAGGCTTTGCAAAGTTCTTTGAAAGAACAAGAAACTGGCTTCAACTATCTGAGCACCACTGTAAAAGAGATGTCCAAGAAAGCACCTGCAGAAATAACTCACAAATATCAGTTAGAATTTAAAGAGATTGAAGGGCGCTGGAAGAAGCTCTCTACCCAGCTGATGGACAATTGCCAAAAACTAGAGGAACATATGAGTAAACTTCGAAAAATTCAGGTAAGCCAAGCTTTTCCTTTATTTTTTCGTTTTTTTTTTTAAATTAGAAACAATCTTATTTTACACATCAATCCCAGTTCCCTCTCATTCCAACTCTCCAATGCCCCCCACCATCCCCCATCACATCCTTTTCTGCTCCCTAGAGACCTTAGCTGGATCATCAAAGACTATCACATAATTTGGAGCAGGGTGTAGGCACTCCCCCATGTGTCTAGGCTAAGGCTAAGAGAGTATTCCTCTACGTGGGATGGGCTTCCAAATCCTTTCATATACTAGGGATAAATGCTGATCTACTACCAGAAGCCCCATAGACTACCCAGACTTCCCAATTGACACCCACCTTCGGGGTGCCTGGTTCGGTCCTGTACTAGTTTCCCAGACAACAGTCTGGGGTCCATGAGCTCCTTCTTTTTCAGGTCAACTGCTTCTATGGGTTTCTCAGCATGGTCTTGACTACTTTGCTCATCACTCTTCCCTCTCTACAACTGGATTCCAGGAGTAATGCAAAATGTTTAGCTGTGGGCATCTGCTTGTGCTTCCATCAGCTACAGGATAAAGGCTCTAAGATGGCATATAAGGTAGTAATTAATCTCATTATCAGGGAAGGGCATTTAAGGAAGCCTCTCCACTATTGCTTATATTGTTAGTTGGGGTCATCCTTGTAGATCTCTGGATAATTCCCTAGTGCCAGATTTTTCTTTAAACCTATAATGGCTCCCTCTATTAAGGTACCTCTTTTCTTGTTCTCCTCTATTATTCTACTGACCTAATCTTCCTGCTTCCTTATGTCGTCTTCCCCCCCCCCACTATTCTCCTCTTCTCTTTCTCATAATTCCCTCTCCCCTCTCGCCATGGTCATCATTTGCTCAGGAGATCTTGTCCATTTTCCCTTCTCTGGAGGGAAATACACATTTCAATGGGTGTATTTGTGTTTTTGGTGAGTAGCTTTTTGAGGTCTTTGTATATTTTGGAAATCAGCTCTTTGCCAGGTATGGGGTTGGTGAAAATCTTTCCCCAGTTTGTGGGTTGCTGTTTTGTCTTAACTGTGTCTGTTGTCCTACAGAATTTTCTCAGTTTCAAGAGGCCCCATTTATTTTTTTCCATTATTCAGTCTTTTTTAAATTTTATTTAGTTTTATTAATTTCTATTACAGTGTTAGTGCTATGTACTGGAAGAGGTCTCCTGAGCCAATTTGTTCTAGGATACCTCCAACTTTCTTTACTAAGAGGTTCAGTATGGCTGGATTTATGTTGATTTCTTTGATCCATTTGGACTTATGTTTTGTGCATGGTAATAGATCCCGCTCTAACTGCAGTCTTCTACACACCAGTATACACTTATGCCAGCAACATTTGTTAAAGATGCTTTCTTTTATCCATTGTATTATTTTGGCTTCTTTGTCAAAATTCAGTTATTCATAGGTGTGTGGGTTAATATCAGGATTTTCAGTTTGATTCCATTGGTCTACCTCTGTATTTTTGTGCCAATACCAAGCTGTTTTCAGGACCATAGTTCTATAATAGAGCTTGAAGTCAGGGATGGTGATGCCTCTAGAAGTTTATTTGTTGTACAGGATTGTTGTGACTGTCCTGGGTTTTTTGTTTTCCCATATAAAGTTGAGCATTATTCATTCAAGGACTGTGAAAAATTGTGCTGCAATTTTGATGGGGATTGTATTGAAACTGTAAATTGCTTTAGGCAAGATTGCCATTTTACTGTGTTGATCCTACCTATTCAAGAGCATGGGAGATCTTTCCATTTTCTGGTATCTTCTTTAATTTCATTCTTTAATGAATCAAAGTTCTAGTTATACAGATCTTTCACCTGTTTGGTTAGGGTTACCCAAGACATTATCTCTTGTTTGTGGCTATTGTAAAGGGTGATGTTTCTCTGATTTCCTACTCATCCCATTTTTTCATCTACATATAATAGGACTACTGACTGTTTTGAGTTAATCTTGTATCCTGTCTATTTTCTGAAGGTATTTATGAGCTGTAGGAGTTCCCTGAATTGCTGTTAAATAAAGACCAAAATAAACAAATAGGCTGAATAGATGTTTATTCAGGGAGACATAACTTACATCCTAGACAGATGAACACAAGCAAGTTCCACCGGATGCTTTCTTCTCCGTGTCCCACCAGCAAGAGAGTGTTCCTCATCTTCTTCTCAGGCTTCCTTCCACAGGTCACTTCTGTCCCTGGCTCCACCCCACAATGGGCGTGGTCAGTGCCACAGAAGGAGACAAAGTGAATATCCCACTAAAATTCCCCTTTTAGTCTATAGAAAAGATTTAGGCTTGATACACAACTATATACAAAACAGTGGATAACAAATGTGCTCTGAGAATAGGAAAATCGAGAACAAAACTACCTACTTATCTAGTCCTAGGGTGAAGGCATAACAGAATTTACAAAAGAATTGTCTTAAGATGGAAAACTTAAGTCTGGTACCTAATATATCTAACTAGGAATAGAGAATAATAGTTGTGCTAGTTTAATCTTCAACCTCATCAAGACCTGAGAAGGGAAATAACGATACTAGGGTAGACAGGAAGTACAGATGGGCAACTTCCAAAAGAGGCAGTGAGGAAACAAACAGCAAGCTACCTGGAGAGTCACCCAAGGTCTCACTACAACGTTGGTACACCCAGTTTTGGCTAAGGCCAAGAGTTCTTGACAGACCAGAACAACAGCACAGAGGTAGAAAGGCAAGTTTCAGCAGTCTTCTATATTTGTCTCTTGTAAGCACATAGGACTGCATGTCCAAATCAGTGGTCAAGGTGGGGGGCAGTTCTTTGCCCAAGAGGCCATTAGCCGAGGTGAGAATGGACTCCAGCAAAAGCAACAACAGTATCCAGCATATTTTTAAGAAAATGCACGGTGCTGTCAGGAGCAACAATGTCTCATGTCAATGGAGTACTAATATTAAAACATTTAAATGCCATGTTCTGCAGGTCTATGAAGTGATTGAAGATTAAGCATCTATGTCTAACTAATCTCATAGGTCAAGAAAACATGAGTGAAGATAATCTGTAATACTCAGGAACTTACTCTATCCATCCAGACTGGCCTGAAACTTGCAGCACTCCTCCAGCCTCTACTTCCCAAGTGTTGGGATTATAGCTGTGAACCTGACTCAGAAGGGTTTTTTCTCTTTCTCTCTTTCTCTCTTTCTCTTTCTCTTTCTCTCTCTCTCTCTCTCTCTCTCTCTCTCTCTCTCTCTCTCTCTCTCTCTCTCTCTCTCACACACACACACACACACACACACGCACCTGTTTTTAAAATAACCTTAGTTATCCTTCAGAACTCTGTTCATCATTTTCTCTTTCTCTCTCTTTCTCTCACACATGCACACATGCACACACGCATACACACATACACACACCTTTTTTTTTAATAACCTTAGTTATCCTTCAGAATTCTGTTCATCTCTCTCTCCCTCTCTCTCTCTCTCTCTCTCTCTCTCTCTCTCTCTCTCTCTCTGTCACTGAGGAAAGAGACAGCTTATCATGGTCACCTGATATCCCAATAGGTCACCAGATACTCTAAAGGCAATTTCCAAATGCTGACTTAACCCCACAGCCAACTGTTTGGGACCATTCTTCTCTGCTGTGTTGGAGTGCTGCTGCATGATCCGAACTTGCATTTGCTCTCAATAAATTCCTGTGTGATTGCATCAGAAAAAAAAAAAAAAAAAATACTCAGGAACTTAGCTAAAAAAAATCTGAATGTAACTTCCCTGAGTAAAGCAGGGACAAATACCTAAACAATATAACTATGTATATATACATACATATAAATCCCTAAAATAGAGGTAGAGTAGAAATGTCTATACAATAGGTAGAACTATAAAGGGCAGCATGATAAATATCCCAAATTGTATCAATATACAAAATGTATGGAACACAAGCAAGTATATATACATAGAATATGGCAAGAATAAATGTGCATAAATTGTATCAATATATGAAACTACATCCTTGGTATAGGTTTGGAGGTCACACTTGTAAACTATCATATCATCTATAAATAGGGTAAGTTTGACTTCTTACTTTCTAACTTTTATCACTTTTATCTCCCTTTGTAGCCTTGTTGCTGTAGATAGAACAAGTAACATATTGAAGAGATATGGAAAGAGTGGATAGCCTTTTACTGATTTTAGAGAAATCATGTTGAGTTTCTCTCCATTTAATTTGATGTCGGCTTTTTTTTTTTGATATATAGTGCTCATAACATACATAATAGAATGCTAGAGGCCTTGTTTTATTAAGAGGAAGCAAATAAAATACAAAAGGTGATTGTATAGCAGGATGTATAAAACGATGCCAGATGATAAAGGCTATTGTTTCATGTGTTTAACTTTTTCTTATTTGCCATGTTGGGTCTTTTTGATTGGTGATAATTGCTAGCATATTAAATAGGTATAACTGTACTAAGAAGCGTAATTGGGCAAAAAGAAATACCTTAATAAGGAAAAGAACTACTGAAACACTTATCATTATACAGGTGATCTCAACTATATTTTCAACTGGTGGATCTCAGTATTTAAGAGATTAAAATGTGATACTTGCAAGATGCTTATTTCATTAGGGTATTTTCAATATTTTATCTGAAATATGTATGTTTATAATAATATATATAGTTCAGAAATGTATTATGTCATGAATAGTCATGAATTGTTCATATTGTATGAGTGATTTTACTTACCGGATGTAATTAAACACATCAACATCAATAGAACAACAATTGCAAAGGTCTGTTACCAGTATTTTTAGAAAGAGAAAATATAGGGATTTTTTTCATCATAAAAACTTCACCATAATATGGGTTAGTGTTAACATAAATTTATAAAACTGATATATTGGAGTAAGAATGAAGTGAACATAGGATGTTATATTATTTTTTCAAGTAGTCCATGTTAAGAACCTGAATGGAAAGTACTGTGGTTTAATAAGGATCAGGCAAAACAAATAGATGTTTATTCAGGGAGAAATAACTTACAACAGAGACAGATGAACACCAGCAGATTCCTGGCACAAGGATGCCTCTGGATGTTCCTCTGTCCCCATGCTGCAAGCAAGAGAGTGCTGTGGGCCCCTTCCCCAGACTTAGTTCCTCCAGGTCACATATGCACCTGTCCCCAACTGCAAAAGGCGTGGTCAGTGCCACAAGTGGGCACTGAATATCTCACTACACAAGACAATGGAGACAGGGAGGGAGAAATATAGCCTTGAAAGGTACCAGTAAGGAGGTAATGTTAAGGTCCTTAGATTTAGTCAAATGCATTTAAAACTGTGGCTACTAACTATATTTTCATCATATTGAAAAAGAAACTTTATGTGAAGCATATATTTTCAATAGAATTTTCAGAAAAGAGAAAGAGTATAAATATGCATTGTAATTTAATTACATGTCATTAAATAAGTGACAGGTTTACATTTGAAATGTTACAGAAGTGAGGTACATAAAAAATAATGCAAGATAAAAGGCTGGGAGGTGTTTGTCAACTTATAAATGACAAAACATGCTATTGTTTGCCTGCTTGTTATTTCTAACTGGTCTGTCAAATACAAAAGTAAAAGCTTTGCATTAAAGATAACAAAATCTTCCCTGGAAATCCCCAAATGATGGAACCATTTAAACTATCAACTGCAGAAATAATTTCTGGAAATTCAGGTTTACAGACGCTACAAAGACACCATTATATTGAGTTTATTGTTCATCATTTGTTTTATGTACACAAAGGGAACATTATCAGTATATTCATGCATTATTTTTTAACTTAAAATTTCTCAAGAGGAAGTACAATTCAATGTTCTCAAGAGGAACATCATAAAACTACATTTGGTAGGTTTTATTTTATTTTATTTTTTTAAACAATAGCAGACGTCATACACACTGATGCTTATACTATAGACAAAATGCAGTCTTAGTGAAAATTTTCTTTTCTAGAGCAGATACTGTGAAACATCCCTCTAACATGGGAACTGTTTTCTGGCTTGTTTTCACACATATTATCATGATTAATTGTGTTGAGTACAATCAGCACTAAGTAATACTTTGAAATTGTTCTTTTATTCCAGAATCACATAAAAACCTTGAAGAAATGGATGGCTGAAGTTGATGTTTTCCTGAAGGAGGAATGGCCTGCCCTTGGGGACTCTGAAATTCTAAAAAAACAGCTGAAACAATGCAGAGTAAGACTTTTTTTGGACATTTTTTCAAATGATATATTTATATGAATATTGCCATTTAGTACCTCAGTCATTGGCTGTTGGGACAGTTCATAGTCAATTGCTGATGGAATGGTTCAAAATATCTGAACATATTTCTTTATGTCCTAGCACCTAGAGCTTAAAGGTCATGGATATTGCTAAATCTCTTCATTGCCTTCAGAAAAAATAGTTTTAATATCCAAAATATCACTAGTACCAATCCTGAGTTTTACTTGGGCCTCACTTTGTAAATCTTAACACAAAATTCAATATAATTTTAAAAAATGGGGGCACTTATTAGTTCATTCCATAGGTTATTATTCATATTGGATTGAATTTATATGGTCTGTATAATAATAGTGTGTGGGGGGTGTAAAAATTTGAAGAGTGACAGGGATCAATATTAAGTGCCCTCTTTTCTTGCTTTCAATGGGAAGTTTTGAGACAATCGCTTAATGAAGCTGAAGCTTATCAATTCTCTAAACTAGGTAGATAGTCCAATTTTCCTTGCATTCAAGCAGTGGAATAAGTACACACAACACTGTGGCCAAGTTTAACATGTGTGTGCATATATGAACTGAAGTCCTCTTTTAATAGCATCCATTTTGTTCACTGAACTATTTCCTAAACCCAACAACAAATATTTCTGAAATGTTATTCATCTGACCAATGTATGCAAATTTCAGAAAGGGATAATTATCTTTAAATAACTTTCTTTTACAGTAAAAGCTAAAGGGCAATCATATTATTATGTTAGGGGCAATTATCAGTGTATATTGTTTTCCAAAACTGAAATTATTTTGAAGCCATTCATGTATAAAGCTCATCATTTTGACTCATTTTTCTAGAAAAAAATATCAAATATATTTGAATGTCTTGAGATAAGTAGCATATGTATAGATACTTCTCTGTAGCATTCTTGACATAAGAGCCACTGAATATTTTAAGGTTTTTATATAGATATATTCAAATTTTGTTAATTTTTAATAGTCAGAATTCATGTAGGATGTTATGATACATATATAATCATAAACTATGTGGTGATACTTTTTCAGTAATGTTAAAGAAATTACTGTTTCATTAGCTTTTAGTCAGTGATATTCAGACAATACAGCCCAGTCTAAACAGTGTTAATGAAGGAGGGCAGAAGATAAAGAGTGAAGCTGAACGAGAGTTTGCATCCAGACTTGAAACAGAACTCAGAGAACTTAACACTCAGTGGGATCACATGTGCCGCCAGGTATGATCAATTTAATTGACTGTTGCTTGTGTCCATGAATTTATTAAAGTTTCTAATGGTCTGGCTTCATCATTATCTTCATTTAAAACTTTCTTCTATGTTGACTGTCAAAATCAGTCTTATTTCAAACAAATTACGATTCTTCTATCATGTGACTATATCATCATCAATATTTTCAATAGTACTTAATTGCCATACTGAAAAATAAAATATAATTTCTTTCTTTCTAAAAATACAGAAGTTTTATTAATTGGCTTAATGAGGATAGAATGCATATTTATAGTTACTTGGTATGGAAATAAACCCTACATTCACATCCAAGTTTTTCAAGTAATATAACATTTTTGGAGATAGTTATTGCTCACTTCAGCATGAAATTGTGGAAAATAAAACACAACACAATTGGAAACAGTTGTATTACTTTGTTCATGCTGAATGCATAACATTTTGAACTAAAGCAATTATTGCATTCAAGTTTAGTAAATTTGGCAGGTAAGGAAAATTTCACTTATTATTATAGAGATAATTAATCTTCAATTATTTTTAAGTAACATTTTAAAGTTTAAACGAAATAATGCCAAAAGGCAAAAGCTAATTTTGTGAAAGGAAAGAATTTATAATAGAAAGTCAAAGCAAATGAATGCAGTTAATACAACTGTTGACATATGCTTAATGTTCTATTAAATTACAGATGAGAGAGTCATGGGCTAGGTAACTTGCATGCTTTTTCTCTTGCAGTCATTTATAGAAGAGTTGTCCAGAGTAAAAGAGCTTAAATGGTGGATAATATCTCTGAAAATTTAACACAATCCTTGGATGGAGTGAATTAGTTTTAGGAGGCTCCTTAACAGAGGACTAGAAATAATATAAACATTTTACTGAGGAAAAAATAAGGTGGGATGAGCAGCAGGGAAAAACAAACCAGTCAACACTATTATTCAAACAAACAAGTTGTCATAGTTTATAGAAGAATATTTTTTAAATTTATTTATTTTTTATTTTACATGTCGATTCTAGTTCCCTCTCCCTCCCCCCTCACTCCCTCTCTCTTACACTCTCTGCCTTCTCACATGCATCCTGACCACCCTCCTCTCCCATGCCCCCAAACCAATTCCACATGTAGTGCAATTTCATACAGGTGGGGTAATGTAAATCTGTCAAATTATTTGAAGTAGGGAATAGGACTTCTCTCCTGTCTCTAGGTTAAGGCAGTATCCCTCCATGGGGGATGTGTCCACAAGGTCCTTTTGTGCACCAGGAGTACATCCAGGTTCGACTGTCTGAGGTCCCTTAGACTGCTCAGTCCTTCTGGCTGAGACCAATATTCGGGGGGGGGGGGTGAGACATGCTGGATTACCAGCTATCAATCTGGGGGCCCATTAGCTCTTCCTTGTTCAGATCAGCTGTCTCTATGTGTTTCTGCAACCTGGTCGTGTCCTCTCTCTCATCATCTTAATTCTAGTTCAACTCAGTTTTAGTTATGGGTGTTTGATTCTGTTTCCGACAGATAATAGATGAGGGCTCCATGATGATGGATAAGTTAGTTACTGATCTCACTATCCGGGAATGGCATTTATGGTAGCCTTTCCATGGTTTCTCAAATTGTTAGTTTGCAGCAATCTTCTAGGTCTCTAGACCTTTCTTTAGGTTCAGTTTTCTCTCCAAACCAATAATGGCTCCCTCTTTCATGCTCTCTCTCTCTCTCTCTCTCTCTCTCTCTCTCTCTCTCTCTCTCTCTCTCTCTCTCTCTCTCTCTCTGTCTTCTATTCCTACCAGGACTCAATATTCCTAATTTCATGTGCTTTCCTCTCCTCCCTTCTCTTTCTCCTACTATTCATCAAAGGAGAAATCCAACAACACAAAGTCTCAATTCTGAACATCCATACCCCAAATACAAAGGTACCCACATTCATAAAAGAAACACTACTAAAACACAAAACTCACACAAAACCTCACACACTTATAGTGGGAGACTTCAACACACCACTCTTACCACTAGACAGGACCACAAATCAGAAACTCAACAAAGAAACAAAAGAATTAACAGAAGTTATGTCTCAATTGGGGTTAACAGACATCTATAGAACATTCCATCCAAACACAAAATAATATAACTTCTTCTCTGCTCCATATGGAACCTTCTCTAAAATCGACCACATAACAAGTGGCATAACAAACCTCAACAGATACAAGAGAATAGGAATAGTCCCCTGTATCTTATCAGATCACCATGCTTTAAAATTGGAACTCAACAACAACACAAATTGCAGAAAACCTGCAAACTCATGGAAACTGAACAATATGCAATTGCACCACACCTGGGTCATAGATGAAATAAAGAAAGAAATGAAGGAGTTTTTAGAATTCAATGAGATTGAGAACACAACATACCCGAATTTATGGGACAGCTTGAAAGCAGTGTTATGAGGGAAGTTCATTGCACTAAGTGCCCATATGAAGAAAACAGAGGATAGTCACATAAGAATATTAATAGCACAACTGAAAACCTTAGAACAAAAAGAAGCAAACTCACTCCAGAGGAGTAGATGACAAGAAATAATCAATTTGAGGGCTGAAATCAACAAAATAGAAACCAGAGAAACAATACAAAAAAATCAATGCAACAAAGAGTTGGTGTTTTGAGAAAATCACCAAGATAGACAAACCTCTATCCAAACTAACAAAAAAGCAGAGAGAGAACATGCAATTAACAAAATCAAAAACGAAAAGGGGAACATAACAATGGGCACAGAGGAAATCCAGACAATTTTCAGGTCATGCTTTGAAAACCTGTATTCCACAAAAATTGAAATTTCAAGGAAATGAACAAATTTCTGGATAACTATAGAAGAATATTTTTATAAATTTTAAATTCTTTATTTTTTTTGCTTAAGACCTAATGTCTTCTATAATGTGTATGAAGAGATCATGGTTCTAGTAATGTATTATATTATTTACATGTTGCTTAACAAAAACTAGTCATGGAACATAACCATATACCAACCCTGGTACTGAAACAAAACATTTTATTGCTTTTTCTTTCTTGATATATCACATTACACATGCTATTGGTAACTAAATGACCTAGGTTTTTAAAGGGAGGGTAGAGTGAATGATTTCACTTCAATTATGCAAAGGGAAAAACAGAAATAAAATATTAATCTATTCTTTATGGAAATATCTGCACATTAGAATGAATATGCTGTGTTTTTCTCTTATGTTAAAGGATAATTGTTATAAAAGATCAATAGTCTGTAGTAATTGAAGATGCTTACCAACCCCTTAACTTTATTTTCAAAATTATAAAATTATTAAGAATTTAGACTATAATTTAAGCAAATGACAAAGAAGAAAAGCAATATTTGTTTTGAAATTTGAGAGATAATGCATCTAAATGAGCCAAAGTTCTGGAATCCAGTTGCAGAGGGGAGGAGTCATGAGCAAAGTGGTCAAGACCAGGCTTGAGAAACACATATATAATGCTAACAAGAGGGAACTCATGGAATCCAGTCTGATAGCTGGGAAACCAGCATAGGACCAACCCAGATACCCTGAAATGAGTTGTTAGTTGGGAGGTCTATGCAGTCAATTGGGCCTCTGCTAGTGGATCAGTATTTATCCCTAGTATACAAATGGACTTTAGGATCCCATTTCACATAGAGGGATACTCCCTCAGCCTAGACACATGGGGGAAGGTCTAGGCCCTGCCCCAAATGATAGGACAGACTTTAAAGAGTCACCAGTGAAGGCTTCAACCTCCCTAAGGAGCAGAAAGGAGATAGAATGGGGGTTGGTGGGGGAAACAGGGGAGGACAGGAGGGTGAGGGAAATGGGATTGATATGTAAAACAAGCTTGTTTCTAATTTATGCAAAATATATAAAAATAATAAAAACAGAGAAATTCAGATTGAGTATTAGCACTTTACACATATTTAACTCTTATGCTGTCTGAAATTTGCATGCTAGTGTGTACTATTCTCAAGAGGCATGGAAACTTCATTCTGCTCCTCTCCCAAACTGATCATCTTCACCATTTATTTTTTGCTTATTTTACAAATAAAATATATTAATTTGCTCAATTAACTGTTAGTCATATTTGAATATTCTCTGCTGGTACATATATTATATAATAATATATACTATATATATATACATATACATATATGTATATGTGTGCATGTGTGTATTGTACATGAACATATACTATTTTAATGAACCACTATGCATATTTTACTGTTTTGTACTTAGATTTACAACAAATTTTAATTCCTGTAAGACAATTTTATGTACTAGAATATTTTAAATTACACACAAAATATACATAATTATATAAAGTAGCTACCTAATTAGTCAATAAAATTATTACCTTCATACATTTTGTAATTTTTGATTTTCTCTATTCCCAAAGAGAATTAATTGCCTTATAAAACAGTGAAAATATTGTAACATAGCAGCCTGGTTATTTTAACTAAATGGCTCTACCTTATATTTACAACTGTACAACATCTTCAAACCCCATAAGTTTTTGTTCTTATTTTTGTTCATTGTTCTTGTTGATGTTTTCATGTTTGTTTTTGTTTGTTCATTTGTTTGTAAAACTAGGGTTTAACAAAAGGCTGATGTATAACACATTTACTTGGATCAGGCTGGCTGTAAACTCATGTCTGCTTCTCAGAGTGCTTTGATTATAGTCATAGTCCACAATGATTGGCTGCCATGAGTTTTTATTTCATATGTACAAGAATACGTTAAGAGTAATTATGAAGTAACATTCTAACCATAATGAGCTTCATAAAGTATGAGTCTTATCTATTGCTAACTTGTCTATTTTTCCAGAAAGAAAATTAGTGGAGCATTGCTATTGTTTTCTTCACCTGCATATCCTGGCCAGTTCCGCTGGTCAGATAATCAATCCTACAAATACCTTCTAGTGAGGGATGGATTTGAGAAAATTACAATACCAGTGTCTGCTAAGTTGCTCCAGGAACCCTTAATTGTGCCTTTCACAGGACAGGAAGAGAAAGTTTTGTTAAGTTTGGTTATTTATCTTATTACACCTGCTTCTTCTTACTTTATGTTTACTAGCTAAAGTTTTTGTTATTTATAGATCTATCAGTAATATGGTGAAAATAATGCATTTTAACTGCCAATGTTTAAGTTTTATCCTTTGCTTTTCTTATTTGTTTGTTCAATGAAAGGTCTACACCAGAAAGGAAGACTTGAAATCAGGTTTGGATAAAACTGTAAGCCTCCAAAAAGATCTATCAGAGATGCATGAATGGATGACACAAGCTGAAGAAGAATATCTAGAGAGAGATTTTGAATACAAAACTCCAGGTGAATTACAGTCTGCAGTTGAAGAGATGAAGGTAAAATAAACCAAAGTAAAGAAAAAAATATCAAGAAATATATCATTGAAATTGTGATTCTGGAAAATCTATACATATTATAGTACTGTATTTATAGGAACATGGAAATGTTTATAGCAACTTTCAAAAGAAGAATCCTACTAGTTTCATAAAATAGAAAATGATTACTTATTATGGGACAATTGATAGGTATGAGATAGCATTTTGCCAAAATTTGATTTATAATGTACTTCCTATAAGGAAGTACATTTATTGATTTATTGTTTATATATTTATTATTTTTTATTTTACATATCAATCCAAGTTCTCGCTCCCTCCTTCTTTCCCTTCCTGCCATCTTCCCATGCTGCAACCACCCTCCCATCTCATCTCCCTCACTCCACATGGAGGGTGATACCTTCCAAGAGGGTTCATGAACATCTGTCCAGTCATTTGAAATAGGGACTAGGCTCTCCCTCCTGCCTCTAGGCTAAGGGAATATCTCTTCATGGGGAATGTGCTCCTAAAGTCCTTTTGTGTTCCAAGGATACATTCTGGTTCCACTGTCAGAGGTCTCTTAGACTGCCCAGGCCTTCTAACTGAGACTCACATTCAGAGGGTTTGAGTCGGTCCAATGCTGGTTTCCCAGCTATCAGTCTGGGGGGGGGGGTCCATTCGCTCACCCATGTTCAGATCAGCTGTTACTGTGGGTTTCTGTAGCCTGGTCTTGACCACTTTTCTTATTACTTCTCCATGTCTGTAACTGGATTCCAGAAGTTTGGCTCAGTGTTTAGCTGTGGGTGCCTGCTTTTGTTTCTATCAGCTACAATATAAGGACTCTATGTTGGCATATAAATTAGTTATCAATCTCATTATCAGGGAATGGTGTTTAAGGTAGCCTTTTCACGGTTGCTCAGGTTGTTAGCTGGCATCATCCTTGTAGGTCTCTGAACATTTCTCTGGAGTCAGTTTTCCCTTCAAACTTATAATGGTTCCCTCTATTATGGTATCTCTTTATTTTTACTCTTGTCTATTCATCCCCCAACTCAATCTTCCTTGCCCCACGTGCTCTCCTTTCATCCCCTTCACTTTCTCCTAATTTCTTCTCCATTCACTGACCCCTATACCAATGTTCTCAGGAGATCTTGTTCCTTTCCCCTTCTGTGAGGGACCTTATATGAATCTCTTAGGTTCCTCCTTGTATCCTACTTTCTCTGGCAGTGTGAATTATAGGCTGGTGATCCTTTCCTCTATGTCTAAAATCCATATATGAGTGAGTACATACCATGTTCCTTTTTTTGTGACTGGGTTACCTCACTCAGTATGGTTTATTCAAGTTCCATCCATTTGCCTTCAAATTTGGAGATCAGTCTACCACAAGACCTAGCAGTTCCACTCTTAGACATATACCCAAATGATCCACATGTGAGAAACAAAGTCATCTGTTCAACTATGTTGAAAGCAACATTATTTGTAATAGCAAGAACCTGGAGGTAACCTAGATGCCCCTAAACTGAATGATGTATAAATAAGATGTGGCACATTTACACAATGAAATACTACTCCGCAGGGAGAAAAATAAGGCAGTACATTAAATGTGTGAGATCTGAGTCATGAGAAATAGCCAATTAAAAAAAAGGAAGTGGAAGCATACTCCTGTCACAGTAAATACTTCTAGCAAAATCCTATGGCAAATTGGGAAAGGAAATAATGAAGAATTGCCTACACAAAAGGAATAGATCAGAGGCTTAATAACTTGAGTTAATAACCAGAGTTGTATGGGCTATGACAGGAATTTGCATGTTGAGTAAACAGAACATGCCTTTCAATGATTTCCAATTAAAGTTTATGATGATATTAAATTCAATTGAGGGGAGGTCATGATGAGACTAGATATATTAACAAGTAGGTATTGTGAAGGTAATACAGATGATACTTCCTCTGCCAATCAGAATTAAATGTGGCAAATCTCCATAGAGCAGTTATTTATGACTAATTTTTTTATGTGTAGTAGAAAGACATGGCTGGATAATATGTCACCCCATTATATTTTGAACTATTATGTTTTAGTATAACACCAATTTGATTTTCAAAATTCTTGTCACATTTTGCGTTCCATCCAATAGTATCACAGTTCTGTTTGCTTTTTATAATCACCTCTAATAAAATTCAAAAATTCAACTTCAGATCTCTAAGAAGATAATAGCCACCTTATTAGTTGCTTTATTTCTTCCTGTCTCATGTTTGGATCAGTCTCTTTGTCACTGTCTCTTTGTCTGTTATGTATATTTACAATTACTTCATGTAACTGCTTGCGCCACTGGAGCAACATGTATATGCCAACCACCAGTGCAAAATTTTTTGTTGTTTTAAAAAACAATTCTGAAAGAGAGTAGTCCAATCATTTTTTTTCATTTTGATTGGCATGTTTAAGTAATTGGTCTAGCTGAACATTTGGTGCAGTATGCTGGAAAATTGAAAGGGAATGGCTTAGGCAGCCTCTGGCAACGGTAGCTACAAGAATTGGAAAGAAAATCCAATTTCTGCAGGTTCTGCTTGGAAGTCAAGGAATTTCTTGTGGTCAGTTTGCTATCTGTTATACACTGATAGAGCTTGCTACAGATTTCTAGCTGTGCTCACTTGAAGAGCAACTTCATTTGTATTGTTGTAAATACCAGGAAAATTATTTTGACAACTCTCTTACTAAGACACAAAACAGATATCTGCATTCTGTTTATTTTCTTCTCTGACATTAGAATGGCATTACTGTTTGTAATTTATTTTATTTTTTACAAGTAAGCAAAAAGTTTTATTCTGTCATAAAGGACATAAAGGAAGTTTTTGATGAGCAATATCCTACTTTGAATCTCTTTTGGAGAACATCATTGATTATATTCTGAAACTTTGTAATAAAAATAAAATCTGTAATTATTTAAACATTATTTCCATTACTAATATTTCATTGCTCTAGTTTTAATCCTGGGGATTAGGAAATTATATACTTAAAATAAATAGAAATGATGGAAACATATAGAGCTTTCTTGTAGGACTAATAGCTAGTCATTAACTAAATTGGCTAGAATAATCATTTGATCTTCATAATTTTTCTGTGCTTTCCTATGCCCACTCCATAGTCAGCTAATGGCATTTCCTTCATATGATACTTACTTCAAATAATTATAGTTGGTGTTATTGAAGTCAGGAACAATCTAAATTGTAGATTCTCTCCTCTCTCTTTTCCCCTCCCCCCTCACTCACACAAACACACAAAAACTCTCATTCTCCCCTGCTTGTGTGTGTATGTGTTCCAAAATATATTTATGTATTTTCACATTATAACTTAAGTGTAAATAGCCTTCAACTAAATTACATAGACTACTTTCTTGTGAGGATTATTTTGTTTCTTAAACTCTTTACAATGAACAAAATGCACACTGTGGGGAATCCTTAATATTATGAACAAAACAAAAACAAATAAAGCATTTTCATTATTGTCAGATGGTGTTGAAGACCAACACAAAGGCTTCACTTAGATAGATTATTGCAAATGAGTAGGGTTACCTGTACTACATAATCGCTTAACTGTCTGGAAGCAACACAAGAGGGAGACAGAAGTCATAGTTATTAAAGAGCCACCAGCCACTTGTCAAAACCAAGAGGGGACAGAGGAGTGTTTTATATGTTAAGCTTTAGCTAGTGTAGATTTAAGACATTTTGTATGTATATAACATTTACTTTTATTTTACTGAGTGATCTTGTTGAATTGAACTTCTGATTTTACAAAATGAACTTTTAAATTTTTAAATTTCATCAAACAAATTTTCTTCCACAGGAGAGTGGCAAGAATAGCTGGTAGATATTGTAGTATGGCTTTCTGGGCATCTCCTAAGTTTCAAATACTGAAGAATTTTTTCAACGAAATGTCCCATATATGACATTAATTAATTTTCTATATTTATTTTTTTAAATTTCAATTTTATTTTCATTAACTTAATTAATGATCCACCTGAATAATTTATAAGTGATGTTAATTGTAGATATCTAACTATTTTAAAATCTATTGTTACATTTGCTCCTTAAGTATTTGAAAAAAAAAACTATATATAAACACATACATCTATTTGACAGATAAGTACCCATGTACAGATAAATTACCAAATTGTTTTTAATTTTTTGAGACTAAGTTTCATTTTGCCTAAGGTGGCCTCACATTATTATATATCCAAGAATGGCGTCAAAGTCCTTCTCTTCCTTCTTCTCCCTCCAACAATGAGGGTAAACTTGTATACGGCACAGTACATAGCTCCAACTACTATTATTAAAAGTATATTGTATTCTGAGAGTATTAATTTCAAGTTTCTAATTATACTTAAATCTGAAAAGAAATAATTGGAATAAGCATTAATTTCATGTTTATGAATTATGTTAATAAATATGCTATTAGTAATAATTTGTAATAATGAATATTGGAAATAGTGATATTGACTTACTTTTAAAAGGGTATGCTTTTCTTTTTAGAGAGCTAAAGAAGAGGCACTACAAAAAGAAACAAAAGTGAAACTACTTACTGAGACTGTAAATAGTGTAATAGCTCAAGCTCCACCTGCAGCACAAGAGGCCTTAAGAAAGGAACTTGAAACTCTAACCACCAACTACCAGTGGCTGTGCACCAGGCTAAATGGAAAATGCAAGACTTTGGAAGTTAGTTTTTCTTTGTTTTTATCTGTTCTGTGTTAAGTGGATATTATGATGTAAAGCTAGATTTTTCTCATCCAAACACTTACAACATGTATAAATTTGTGCCACTTCCTTAAGTTGCATAAAACTGCTTCCAGTTTGTGAATGATCATAATTGATGGGATGGCTCAGTATTTGTGAATAGTTTCTTCTCTTCCTGTAGGATATTCACAATTACCTATAACTAAAGTTCCAGAGGATCTGGTGCCCTCTTCAGTCCTCAAAGGGCACTTGCACATGTTATACATGAGGACACCCACCCTTGGACATAAATAAATACAAAGATAAATAGTATGCTCTTTAAATATATTTGTTTTAAAAATAGTATTTTTTTAAGAAATAATAGTATTTTGTTTTTAGAAATTAAGTTAACTATATGGCTAAAAATACTTTAAAAACAATTATATTTTTATTGGTATTATTTGGTTATAAAATTTATAAATATAAGATTTATATATGTAATATTAAATTGTTTTCCATATATTTGAATGTTCCTAAACTTACTTGAATATGCATAAACATAATTCTATTACATGTTAATGAGAACAGATACATTGTTTCTTTCTATAGTGGTTGTCTATTACATTTTTGATGATTATCTTTTCTCCAATTTTTACATCATCCCTCAGAGCATTTTCACAGTGTACGTGAACAATCTCTCTATTATTTCTCAATTTTCTAGTAAATTTTTTGTGTAATTTCCTCTCTCTGTCTAATTTAGACTAATTTCTGATGTGAATAACTTCTTAGTGTTTTAACTGTTAGTGCCTGAAATCTGTTCATCTGTACACATATTTATCTAAAATTTCATGAATGTATGTTTACTATTTCATCAAGTGCAGTTCTATAAATCTGACATTTTCTCATAATTTTGTTTAGTATTATTATAGCTTCTCATTAAAAATTGAAGCATTTATCATTTGTTAGATTAAGTCTCATCTCACAGATTTATAAGAATTTAATAATTTTGTTTCCAAATAACTAAACCATACATGCCAAATTCAATTTGATGTCTGGTTTAGGGCTTTTTTCCTAGTGATATTTTAATTTTTGATCTGGTTCCAAATCTTTGTACTCAATCTTAGCTTTTAAAATATACTAAAATTTAAATATCAATGCTGTAGTTTATATATTCAAAATTTTCAGTGGTTTATATTAATATTAAGAAATAAGCAATATTTACTGAAGTGAGAATAAGAAAAAATATACTGATACTCTCTTTCCTAGGTGCTCAGCATCGCTCTTTCAATGTTAATACAAGTAAAATAGGATATTTCCTTCATATTAAGGTCCTTTGCTTAAATGGCCATACTTATCTTTCCTTTTTTTAATTCCTAAATAAGTTTGTAGTAATTATTGTGTTACCACTTGCTATATTATCCTGAGTGGTCTTCCTTGTTCTCTGTTGATTCTATGTGCTTTATTAGAAACATTGGGTGTTTTTATTCACATGAGTTTTAATCCCCTTAACTAAATGCTTCTTCATGTGTTCATGGTGCCTTGAAATATTTAATTTAACAAAATGTTTGGATAATTCTTTCACATAATTTTATATAATATCCCCTTGAAAGGTACATTTCTTTGCATGATTTGTTAGAAGTTCCAAAACATTTTCTTATACATCTAAATTAAATCATTGGCTCTGGAAAAATTAATCATTTTTGAGATGTCAAATAAAAAAACGTTACTTTGATTCCTCTCAACTGGAAATTCAAAGTCACTAGCTCTTCCTTAACATGCCCATTCACTAAACTGTCAGTTTTTCCCTTATTCAATATATTTCAACCCCAGTTTGCCCTCCTTCCCCTCTTCCCAGTGTCTGTCACACTCTGCTACTGCTTTGCTTCTCTCCCCCAGATCCACTCCTCCTCTTTTTCCCCTTCCTCAGAAGAAAAGCAGGCCTCCCAGGGATATAAACCAAACATGACACAACAAGCCTAGGAACAAAACCTCATATCAAGGATGAACAAGGCTACCAAATAGGTAGAAAGGGTCCAAATATCACTCCTATTCTTGGAAGTTCCACAAAAACACTAAAGTAAATAGCCATATTTGCAGAGGACATAGCTTAGAACCATACAAACTCTGATTGCTGCTTCAGTCTCTGTGAACCCCCATAATTCCTGCTTAGTTCTCTGTGAGACTACATAATTCTTGTTTAGTTGGTTGTGTATACCATGTTTTCCTGTTGCCCTCAACCTTTCTGGCTCCTACAATCATCCCTCTCCTTCTTCCTTTGGGTTCCCTAATTACCATGTAGTGTGGCTGTGTGTCTCTCTATCTGCTCTCATCAACTGAATGAGGAAGCCTCTCTGATGATGCTTGGGCTAGGTACCAATCTTGGAGTATAGCTGACTATCATTAAAATCATTAAATTGACTTTTTTTTTCCAAAAAGGTTTGATTTTTACCAATTTTCTCTGGGCCATTGAGCTTCCATTTACTGGCCATCAAGGTAATGCCATGTATGGGCTTCCTCTTATGGCATGAACCTCAAATTAAACCAGCCATTTTTGGTGGTTCCCATAACGTCTGTGCCAGCATTGCCCCAGTGCATCTTGGAGGCAGTACAGGTTGTAGTTCAAGCTTTTTGTGTCTGGTTGATGTCCCATGCCCACCAATTAATGCCTAGCCTAGATACAGAAGATGGCTTATAGCCTCCATTACTAAGAATACTTGGTTTGGTCACCTTCATATGTTCCAAAAGGTTCTATTGAACTAGGTTTCCACATTGCCTCCCAAAAGTTCCCGAATTCCAGTCATCTCTCCCTATGGATAGTTGAGAGTGTAGAAAAGTGGGGCAAATACTTACCTTACACACAGAAGGCCCTGGGATAAATTTTCAGCTCATAAAAATAACAAAAGGAAAAGAAAATGTATATAGAGATGAGGTAATAATTTTTCATTCATGAATGAAAAACTACTGTTTAATTTTCCTAATTGAGATCTCATCTGTACCTTCAAGTGTACTCTTAATGAAACCTTGACCATAACTTAAAAAAGTTTTATATTTGCTATATAGTAATAATAAGCTATATTACTTATAGAATGTTGAAATTTAATCATTTCATTTCTTAAGTATGAAAACTAGTTACCAAACTCAAATAATGCTGGTAATGTGTATTATCAAAAAGCACACATTATAGAATTGTCCTTTTTTTCTATTACATTTATAATTTCTCTGATATTTCTTTATCAAATGGTATTGATTTAAGTATTTATTAAACTTTCAGTTTATTCTTTTTATCCATTTTGTATATAATTTTTAAATATACATTTGAAAAAGCTTGTTTTACATGTTAATCCCAGTTCCCACACCCTCCCATCCCTCCAACAACCTCCATCCCATCTCTTTTCTCTCCGCAGGGAGGGTGAAGCCTTCCATGCGGAGTCTTCAAAGTCTGTCATGTCATTTGAGGCAGGATCCAGGCCCCCTGCCATTTTTCTAGGCTGAGAGAATATCCCTCTATGTGGAATGGGCTCCCAAAGTCCATTCGTATACTAGGGATAAATAGTGATCCACTGCCAGAGTCTCCATAGACTGCCCAGTCCTCTGAACTAACACCACATTCAGGGGTGAGTCATTCCTATGCTGGTTTCCCAGCTATAAGACTAGAGTCCATGTGTTCCCCCTTGTTCAGGTCAGCAGTTTCTATGGGTTTTTCCAGCCTCGTCTTGAACCCTTCTTCACTCCTCCCAGTCTGCAACTGGATTGCAAGGGTTTGGCTCAGTGTTTAGCTGTGGATGTCTGCTTCTGCTTCCATCAGCTTAATAACAATGACTATTCTTATATTGCTTGAAGTATTTCTTTGTAATCTCACCTATTATAGGAATTGTTCTTGGAAATTCTTATTGCTTTTGATTATTGGGTAAACTTTGAGAGTCTTTGTATGTCCCATCATCCTGGAGATGTTATGCTTTAATATCTGAAATATAACCTTAAGTTTCAAGCCCTCAAAGGATGTTTATCATTTTTTATCCAAGCAGCAAAATTATTTGCACCTTCCTCTTAATATTTTATGGTGAATACTTTTCAGTTCTTCCTTCAGAATAAATGCCATGTTATTATTAGTGACTTGTGTAAGAACAGTGCTTCTTTCCCAATATGATGTTGCACTTAAATATCATAGTTACAATGTCATATACTCTATTCAGACAAGCTGGTACTTTGTTATACTGCATATTATCCTCTCACTTTGTATTGTTAACATTCCCCATTTTCGTGTACCATCTAACATGTAGTTTCCTGATCCATGGTTAAGAGGTGAACTTAAATTTCAATTGATTTACTTGGAATTTCAATCAGACTGAAGTAGTATGCAGCTTTTTTTCATGTGTTTTTTTTATTTCAAAATCACTCTAAATTCTGTGATTTCAAGGCAATTTAAAGTCCCAAACTGTTAAATTTACCACTTACTCTAAGTAAATTTTCAATACAATTTAGGATTCAAGTGTGTATTTTATTTTGAAAAAGTGACCTGTAAAACAGGTGCATTGAGCCTCTCCAGTGGTGTTATTCAGATGCACTGAGGATAGAAGAAATCATCTATCTTGATAGATAAATCATTGTGACACCTCATTACCTCAATCTGCACCAAAGTCGATATGACTTACTACAAGTGTCACCCCCTTACCTTTAAATCTCTAACATATGCTCTGGGATTTCAGATGATGTTTATGTTTCCCTATTTGGATGCTTTCTCAGAAGAAAAATAGAATATGGGCCATCAGGATCTAGAAATGTTTTAAGGTTTATAAAATCATTATTTAGAAAAACACTTTGTCTTTTTTAGAATATATTATATAAAATCAATAAATTATAGTAACTTACTAGGCTTAGAGACAGGCTAGAATGATGTCCAATAGATAGATATAGAATAACCTCCATTATTTTTAAAGGCCATGAACAATAGGGTAAATATCAGGATTTTTCTAATATTTTTGTTCTCCCTTAATATGAAATTC